CAGATCAAAACTACAATGAGGTTTCCCCTCACACCAGTCAGCCATCATCAAAAAGTCTACAAATAATAAATGCTGGAGAGAGTATGGAGAAAAGGGAACCCTCCCCCACTGTTAGTGCGAATGTAAATTGGTGCAGCCACCATGGAGAGCAGTTGAAGTTTCCTTAAAAAGCTAAAAATAGACTTACCACATGATCCAGTAATCCACTCCTGGGCATATATCTGGAGAAAACTATAATTTGAAAAGACATCTGCACCCCAATGTTCACAGCAGCACTATGTACAACAGCCAAGACATGGAAACAACCTAAATGTCCACCAAGAGATGACTGGATAAAGAAGATGTGGTGTACAATGGAATACCACTCAGCCATAAAAGAGAAAGAAATAACGCCATTTGCAGCAACATGGATGGTCATTTAGCAACAGAGATGATCACACTGCGTGAAGTAAGTCAGACAGAGAAAGACAACTATCATATGATATCATTTATATACGGAATCTTAAAAAAATATACAAATTCTACTTACAAACCAGAAACAGACTCACGGACATTGAAAACAAACGATTGCTACCAAAGGGGAAAGTGCAGGGAGGGATCAGGGGCTGGGGATTAATAGACACACACTATGATGTATAAAATAGATAAACAACAAGGGCCTACTGTAGAGCCCAGGAACTATATTCCAATTCTTGTAATAACATAAAGGAAAAGAATCTGAAAAGAAAAAATATATATGGATGTATATGTATAACTGAATCACTGTGCTGTACACCTGAAACTAATACTGTAAATCAGCTACAGTTCCATTTAAAAAAAAAAACTTTAAAAAAAGCTACCTGAAAAAGAAAAATCCCCCATTTACAGAAGTCATAAACTCTGTGTTCAGGCCCCTGTGCTGAAGCATCACCCTTGGCTGCCGTTTTGCTGTTAAACCTTCACGTGTTCTTTTACACATAGACTAGACAATGTTATAGTTTATTCCCTGATTTCTCTCCAGAAATCGCGTGTACATTTAAACCATCATTCAATAATCATTAAACTAAAAAACAAAAAGCAAAACCCTGAATCAACACGGGGATTATGAGGAGGGACGGGGGACAATGAAAAGCAGCCCCGCGCTCACCCTGTCTTCTCTCTCACAGCTTCGAAACGTGGCGGCGAATCTCTGCGTGGACAGCAAGCACGGGGCCACGGGCACGGAGCTGAGGCTGGATGTCTGCGTCAAGGACGGTTCTGAAAGGACGTGGTCCCACGAGCAGGTATGTCGTGGGAGTAGGGGGTGGGGCTGGGGCAGGCACAGTGGGGACACAGTGGGGACAAGTCTCCGGATGGGACCTGGGTGAAGCCCTGGTTCCGTCTCTAACCAGCTCTGCAGGCAAGTGAATCACTAAACTTTCTTGTTTCTGCTTCTTCTCAGAGAGGCCGTGATATTCAGTGGAAGGAATGTATTAAAATGGGCTTTAAGTTAACAGAAACGGGGGGGGGAATGTTGATTGTGACGCTAGTCTTCTAATTCCTTTCCCAGAACGATAGTTTTCAAACCGTGATGAGCTCGTGGAGTGTGACGTCACTCTCCCAAGCACGTTTCACCGAAAGACTTCGTTATTCTCTGTTTCTGTGACTTCGTCTAATCTTATTTTCTCCCGGGGCTGGTTCCTGAAAAGGACGCTGCACCCACACCTCTGTGCTGTCGGAGCAGCTTCCGTCTTACAGGTGCAGGGCGACCCAGAGGCTCTAACTCCCCAGCACGGACTTCAGGGGATGCTTCAGGACTAGTTACTGCTTTTGCTTGAAAAACATTTCAGTGCGACTCAATTTATTAAGTGATGTGTGATTCTGGACCCTCTTTGAAACGTGACAATCTTTGTAAGGGGCTTCCCTCACACCGTGTCACCTGTCAGAACAGACAGTGGGTAGACTTGTGTCTGCCCCTTTCTATCGTTTTAATTTTAAATCATGAAATATTTCAAATAGGAAATACTAAAAATATAGCATATCGTGGCGCACTCATCACGCAGATTGGACGAATGTTTACAGCTATTGCCGTGTCTTTTTAGAAGAAAAAAAAGTACAGATGCAGTTAAAGCCCCCCTTCCCTCCCCAACTCACCCCCCCCCCCCCCGCGCGGAAGGACACACCGAGTTCAAGGTCGTCTGTCCTGCTTGGACTTTCTGTTTCCCGGAACTGGCCGTAATGTGTCTCTTATGAAAACCAAAAGGGAAGGCAGGCGGTTGCAGGAAGGCATCAGTGCTCGCCTGTGACTGCGTTGCCCGAGTGTCCTGTACGCGAAGTGAGCAGAGACCCCGCGCAGCCTGGGATCTTCGAGCTGTCCCAGCGCGCAGAGACGCCGCGCGCAGCCCTCCCTCCTCTCCCCGCTGCCTCCCCGCTGCTTCCTGCCCCTCCGCTGACCTGCCCCGCAGCGCGGAGCCGCTGAGCCAGGGAAGCCGCGGTAGACCGAGCCCACAGCATAGCCAGAATTAACTCGGTCCCTAGCCCGACACCACCCCTCTCCCGGCCGGGAACCCGGTCCTTGTCCTCTCAGCCCGCAGACTCGCCGTGTTCCGGAAGGATCGTGCACCTGCAGTCAGGCCGACCTAGATTCCAGCCGGTTGAACCGCAGTATCCTTGTGAACCTGTTAAACCTTTCGAGGCCACGGCCCCTCCACCTTTAAACGGGGACAGTAATACCCGCCTCACGAGCAAGGTTATCACCAGAATGGGCAACAGCCCTGACGTCGCAGCATCGCACACAGGTAGCAGGCGCGGAGCAGACACACCTCCCTCTGCCTCCTCACAGCCCTCCTCCAGATCACTTTACACTCACAGCAAGCCAGAAATCTCCCACTGCCCAAGGCAGCCGCCAGAATACCAAATAGTGTTTCTCTTCGCTCAAATGTACCCTGCAGTACGGACTGCATGGGTTTTAAAGAAGGCCCTGCAGCTCCAGGGTACACTGATCGGCACGAAGTATTGGTAAAAGCTGTCTTGCCTCCGCCTTCCTGTGTCTATAAGCACCATGGCAGTGTTCCCAGGGAGGTGAATAGTGCCTGTTCCCTCTAAGAAGCAATTCCGACCTCAGCCTGGGAGCAAGAGGGAAGGCTTCAGAGGCACCTAGAGGGGAAACGGTAATTTTTTAAAGGAAAAAAGAAAATGCCGTAAAACAACAACTCTGTATCTGTTGGGCTAAACTTCTCTCTACCCCCTCTGTTCAGCCCAACCAGGAAACACACTTAGCAGCCACCTGGTGGATAGGAAGAATGCATACCTGAACGCCTGAATCAGGCTTAAGCTCTCCATCCCCTGGAATGTTCTAGAATGAAATATGCTCTGGGCTGCAGCTGTTATTTGATAGCTGAAAATAAACGCAAATAAAACCAACTATATTGCATACCCTAAAACCTGTTGTTCAGTCCTTCCCCCAGGCCCCGCCCCGCCCCGCCTTGGGCTAAACTGCAAAAATCTATTATGTGTAACTCAAGAAATAGTCACCAGAGGGCAGCACCAGACAAGCGGACAACTACAAGACGACCAAGACACAGTTCATACAACTCCTTAAAGAAATTTCCAGAGATGGAACTAGGAGCTGCAGGAGGATCGGCAAGGTGGACGGGAGGTGAAAAGTGAATCGTATCCGAAACACCAATCGCCGTATATTGACTTGGAGGTTAAAACCTGACAAGGCGCTTTGTTTTCCAGTACTTGACGGTAGGCTTTATTTGTGACATGACTCAATAACTTGCAAGAATTAGGACTCACTCTTCTACATTTAGATGAAAAGTCCTGGTTGAGAAAAGCGTATCAGGACCGGAGAATTACAGGTATGCTTTCTGATGCGAAAAGAACACAAGAGGGGCACTAATTATAGTTGAAATGATCTTTGTCTGCTTTTTAATGGCAAAAAATAAAACACACGTGAATAAACAAAATAGCTCTGTAGGGGAGTAAAGGCGAGTCTGTGGAAGCTCCTGGGTAGGAGAACGCCTTCTGTTGCAGGACAGGAAGTGACCTAGCGGTCTCCTTGCAGGGAAGCCAGCCTCGGGTTCAAGGGTCAGCCCTCCATGGAGCTGCTTGGCCTCACGGCCGCACGTGGGCTGGCTTTCAGTTTCCTTTAGGGACCAAGAAAGAAAAGGAAACTGGCCTCAGCAGGGCTGTGAGACCTGGAAAGGGCACTCCCCACCTGCCTTTGTGGGTCTGAGTGTGTGCGAGGGGCGAGGAGTGGGGCCCTGACCTCGCGCGGGGAAGGCACGGTCCTGCCAAGGGTGCTGAGACGCGCGCCCCGCCGCCCTGCGGAGACCCGGACGCGAGGCCAGCAGAGGGGGCGGCAAGTCAGCGCGCCGGGGAAGGGCAGCTGCTGGGATGCGCGGGCTCAGCCTGGAGACCGAGCGCGCCGGCGGTCCGGCCCACGCAGGGCAACACGCAGCGTCTCCGATCTCTGCCGACCGCGTGCCGATGGAGTGAAATCCAACTGCCCACAGAGGGAAGAACCGTTTCTGTCCTCTCGGGTCAGGTAGCAAG